GGAGGAAGAGAAAATGGAGAGGGGGGAGGAAGGGGAAATGGGGAGGGGGCAAAGGTGGCTCTGGCACCATGGGGCAGCTGGAAAAACCCCTCCCTCTGCCCCTTCCGTTGGGGGGATCTTTGGCTGAGAGCCCCCTCTCTCCTGCCTCCCTCCTTCTCCTTCCTCCTCTTCCTCCTTCCTTCTTCCTCCTTTCCTTCTTTCCTCCCCCTTCCTTCCTTCCCTCCTTCCTTTCCTTCCTCCTCCTCTTTCCTCCTCCTACTCTTCCATCCTCCTCCTTCTTCTTCCTTCCCCATTCTCCTTCCTCCTTCTCCATCCTCCTCTTCCTCTTTCTTCCTCCGTCCTCCTCATTCGTCCTCCTCCATCCTCTTTCTCCTTCCTCCTCCTCTTCCTGCTCCTCCATCCTCCTTCTTCTTCCTGCTCCACCATCCTCCTCCTCCTCAATCTTCCTTCTCCTTTTTCCTCCTCCTCCCTCCTTCTCCTTCCTCCTCCATCCTCTTCCATCCATCTTTGTCTTCTCTTCCTCCACCCTCCTCCTTCCTCTTCCTTCACCTTCCTTCTTGTTCCTCCTCCATCCTCCTCTTTCCTCTTCCATCCTCCTCCTCCTTCCTCCTCCTCCTTCCTCCTCCATCCTCCTCTTTCCTCTTCCATCCTCTTCCTCCTTCCTCCTCCATCCTCCTCCTCCTTCCTCCTCCATCCTCCTCCTCCCTTTTCCTCCTCCATCCTCCTCCTCCTTCCTCCTCCATCTTCTTTCCTCTTCCATCCTCCTCCTCCATCCTCTTCCATCCATCTTTGTCTTCTCTTCCTGCACCCTCCTCCTTCCTCCTCCTTCACCTTCCTTCTTGTTCCTCCTCCATCTTCCTCTTTCCTCTTCCTTCCTCCTCCATCCTCTTCCTCCTCCATCCTCCTCCCTCCTCCATCCTCCTCCTCTTTCCTCCTCCATCCTCTTCCTCTTTCCTCTTCCATCCTCTTCCTCCTTCCTCCTCCCCGCTCTTCCTCTTTCCTCTTCCATCCTCCTCCTCCATCCTCTTCCATCCATCTTTGTCTTCTCTTCCTCCTTCCTCTTCCTCCTTCCTCCTCCTCCATCCTCCTTCTTCTTCCTCTATCCTCTTCCTCCTCCATCCCTCC